TCTGTTGCCCTGATTTCTACCAAACCAAGACTAAGAGAAAAATCAGAGACAGTCCAAAATGAAGCTGCTAGGATCTTTCTTGGTGCCCCCAGGTGGACAAAAGTCTTCAGCCTCCCGAATTGCAAACAACTCTTGGCTGTCACATAGAGCCAGGATGTTAATGCACTATCAACTCAAAGAACAACTACTTGTTAAGGCCATGATCTCCCCCACCATGACTATATTGAAGCCCGGCCGTGGGCAAAGACCTTGATAGAGTTTTCTGTCACAAGCAGGTCAAGGAGAAAGAACCAATACCCCGTGCCCGGTCTGAAGGCAGAAGCTGAGAGGGTCATTGCAGCCATCACACCTTTGGGTAGTAGAACCTACTTCACTTTCGGAAGAGTCGATCCTGTAACTCACACTGCAGGCGCTGGCTTTGCAGCATGGGATGCCACAATATCCAAGAGGGTAACAGACATAGCCTCCTCGCTCCAGGCAGAGGCAGTTGGTGTCCCAGAAAGGACACGTGGCTATACAAATTCTAGGGCAGCCATTGACAGTCTACAGCACAGCATGTCCAATGACTTCTACCTCCTGACCACTGTGCTTACCATAACGCAGAGGATCCTTGTTCATAAACCGAGTCCCCAGCCACATAGGCATCAGAAGGAATGAGCATGTTAACAGACTAGCCAAAACTGGTAAGGGTATACCCCCAAATCCCATGATCATTCACTGAAGCTGAAAAATCGTCAGGCAAATGTCCACAGTCACAGGACAAGCCAGTCTCCTGCAGCTATACAGAGTGGAAGTGAGAAACTCCCCCTCAGCCAGATGGGACTAAGACGCCACAGGCCATGAGCCACTGGCAGTCTCCGAAACAATTAATTTAACAGAGGTGCCGAAATCATTCTTCACAGAATCGGACTAGGCTTCCACTGCACATGACAATTTATTGAGACAAATGACTATGTTAACAGGTATTGCAAGCACTGTGGCAAGCCGAACCATATTACACTATTTACAGAGTTGTGAGCCCACACAACTTCTGAGACAGGGACCACTCACCACAGTCGCCAGGCTAGTAAGACTATGCTTCTCACTCACACCATGGCGGTTGGAGCGCCTGCTGCCAATTCGGCACAACGGTAATTATAGTGAAAACAATTGAGACAACTATAAGTAACTGACACAGGCCGGGTTACATTTGTGAAGGTCCAGGCGAAGCTAGCTTTCGCAAATCTCACTGAACCAAACTGCTGATGAGCGTGCCTCTTTCTGCTTTGAAGCTGGAAGAAAATGTGAAGTTTGAATAAATACTAGTGTATGATGCATTATTCTGTAACAATCATGATGTTAATGAGTTAATTATTGCACTAAGGGCTAGACTAATGCACTAAGGGCTAGACTATTTGTGTGTGTGTGTGTGTGTGTGTGTGTGTGTGTGTGTGTGTGTGTGTGTGTGTGTGTGTGTGTGTGTGTGTGTGTGTGTGTGTGTGTGTGTGTGTGTGTGTGTGTTTGTGTATGTGTGTTTGGGTGTGTTTGCGTGTGTGTGTGTGTGGGCACACGTGTGTGCGTGCATATTTAAAATTCATATTTATTTTAAATACATATGATTATGTATATTGCATAAAGAAATACTCTAAAATATAAATTTTGTTTACATTAATTTATTCTATCTAATTCATCTAGTGTGACTGGGCATTAAGGCCCTAGCATTTTTTCGTCAAAGACAGTTGCGATAATTTCCGTTTGACTGATTTCCATCACGATCTTGTGCTACAGAGGTTCTATACAAATAGAATGTTTTTATTTTTTAAATAACATGATAATGTCTTCCAATGCTCGTGTGACACCTGGGACCTCAGTCCGGTGGTGCCTTGTTTGATTTACTATGTTTGCTGCCTTGGTAGTATGATAGGGTCAGTCCATTTAGATATGAAAAGTTCGTAATGGTTAATGGTTAATGGTTAAAAGCAAAATAAATGTGCTAGACATCTAAGGTCATGTAGCACTATAGTTAATGTTAGTGAAAGGTGGTTGAGTTAGTGATTAGTTGTCTAAGCTGGGCAAAGGAATTGGTGAGTCAAAGGGTTAAGGTCGGGTGTTAGATTAGATAAAGGACATGTATGCGTTTGAGGAAAGAGAACAGGTTGTTGATGCAGAAAGTGTGGGATTCTGTAAGGATGTCTGATAGGATGGGAGGTCGGTGAAGGGAGGATAGGTGGGGGAAAGCAGATGTACGGGCTGCTTCAAAACGTGGGCACGACAATAGGATGTGTACGATTGAAAGGGGAACATTACATAAGGAATGCGTAAGCGGGCGAGAGCGGTCTCCCAACGTCTGTTCCGATGAAATGGAGCTGACCAGGAGGAGATTGATAGTTTTACAGAATGTAATTTATTAGTGTGGAGGCTTGACCAAAAAGATTGCCATCGCTTACACAAGAAGGTCTTAAAGTGTGGGTAATAATCCGTGGCTGGGATACGTGAGAAGCGTGGTTGGTATGATGTGGACATAGCAGCGTGGCGTGCTAGTGTATCTGCCTGTTCATTGCCGGGGATTCCAACATGGCTGGGCACCCAGCAAATGAAAAGTTCATATGGAAACAAAAAATGATGGAAAAAGTGCTAGTTTTTTGCCAGAAAAGATGATAGTTCTACTCCAATATATCAACTACAATTCTTTGTAATTAAGGGATTTGTGTAATAATCCTGAAGCCTCTCCATAACCACAGATTACACAAGCAACATTGTTGGTACTCATTTATTTTATGGTATTCATGAATGCTATAATGGCAAGCATGCTGAAGCAACCTAGAGTGCCTAGGCAGTATCAATTTCAACTGTACATTATAGGAACATCTTGTATATATTTTCTTCACTAAAACTTATCAGAATTGAAAAGTGTTTTCAAGATAGGTTTTAAAGGTTTCATGAATTTATAAACTCTGATAAAAAGGAAAACAATTGTCACACCTTTCTGCAACTCACAATCTGAATAGCACCAAATAAAACATATTTCTCCTTTGTATCTATGTAGATATATTTTCACATATAATTTATCTTTCATTGTACAGAAGGTTTCTATCCATAAAACAGTAAAGCAAATTAAATGAAAATATTTTATTTGACAGCTAACTTACATATATTTCAAACATGTGAAATCTGGCATCAAATAATATTATGATCTACTGTAACAAAAATGAATAAGAATTAAATAACACAAATGATAACAAACATTTTTCCCTTGTGACAGAAGACTAAGTGTGAGGATATTAGTATGATCAACAAATGGAATATACTTTTACCAAAAAAAAAAAATAATAATAATACTATTAATTAAAATGAGCTTTCATATATGCCTCAAGAGACAGAATATTCTTCATTTATATAGAAATATACAAAAACTATCAATTTCATGAAGTGTCTAATAAGTAAAACAGTCTGATGTTAACAGCAGTCCCTTCAGAGAGCACCAACACGATCACGTGGAATCAAACGAAGTTCTGAGCCATGTTTCATAAATACACTTCCTGTAAAAAAAAAAAAAAAAAAATAACACCATTTTAAGTAACAATGTAGCAATAAGTGACAGAGTACATTTCATCAATTCAAATTTAATCTAATATCAATTTCTTTATGATCCATTTAGTTAAGCCAAGCTAGTTTCAAAAACAAATGGAACAAGAACATTTCGAATCCTCTATTTTTAGGTAGACAGAAAAAATAAGTTGCTGGCAGAGTAATATAATGTAACAACAAATCTAACCATTTTTGCTTTGTAACATGTGAACTGATGTGCACCAAGTTGTGACAAGAAACCTGATCCGTACCTGCATCCTGACTAGGGTTAATGCCAATGCCATCATCTGTGATGATAGCAGAGGTTGAGGGCTCAACCTTAAACTCTTCCGCTGCAAACTTCAATACAGCAGTGAAGGGTGTTTGTTCTGGCACACTCAGCCTGAAAGCAAAAAGAGAGAGAACCACACTATAAGATGGGTAATGATTGGTCAACTGTTACTCTAACATGTGTAACTCCTCCATACAAAGCCAAATAAAAAAAAACAAGATGCTGAAATCAGCCTGTAAGAAGAAACACAGATTTGCTATAAACACATAATAAAGAAAATACAATTTAACAAACCAACTATTTTATGTATTCTCTTCACAACAGTATGCTAAATCTACAAATAAACAAATTTCAAATACTAGAAAAGGATTATATACCAATACTTTTTACAGAACTTTGTTGAATACAAATTCTATTAGTAAATACTTCTTCCACATGCAATCTGTTCCTTTTCTATTTCATCTAATTCTTAGTAAAGATTTTAAGTTATCATTTTAAGTGACAGGTCACTCTTTCCTCAACTTCTTCACATTCCAGTACAAGGCAATATGAATCAACAACATTTTCTATACTAAATGCCATGAAAATACAATACTATTGCTCAAAGCATGTGAAACATAATAAGCTTTGAAATATTCAATAAATAATCCAAAGCTTCCAGACAGCATTTATCTTGAAATACTTTTGCTTACTTTATTTGCAGTGTTGACTAAACATCAAGATAAAAGTAGTGCATTACTAAAGTATTAATCCAATTGGTATGGATGCTTTGACGACTGTAATATAAATTCATTTACTGTATATACACATTGAAGGCTCTACAAGTGCTCAGTCACCAAGGAGTCAGTTATTAGTCCTACTCACTTGCTTACCCTTTTCCTTGATGTTTGGAAAGTTTCTTTTGTATTATTTCATTGTCATTAATGTTACCAAGATTTTAATAACAATTCAATAATCACACCAATAAGAATAATAACAGTATCAATATCAATAGCATTAGAAGGAAAAACACATTTTCCCACAATTTCAAGGAAGGGGGAAATCAGGAGGGGTCACTAGGGCCGACTGATACACTCCTTGCTGGCTGAGCACATGTGGAGCCATCTGTATGCAACAAAACTCACAAAAAAACTACAGGAGGCAGTACATAAATCTGTAGTCACTGGGTTAACAACATGTAGCATTTGTTAATTTCTAGTCTTTTAGGATTACCTACCTATCTCAGTAAACAGGGAGACTTCAAAGATGTATTTTCCTCCATAAAAAATTCAGTTTCTTTCAAATAACATTACAACATTTGTATTGCATGATTACTGACAACTCATTCACAAGCCTCCTTCATGAACAAGATTATTATTGCAAGCAAACAAAATAGAAGACCCACAGAAGGATATTCAAAAATTATTTTTATAATCAACCTCATATACACTAGGATATCAACTAAATAAAAATTACAGAATAAGTAAGAAATGCCAATTACTGAATCTGAATGTTAACTTTAAAAACTTGTACATAATATATGAAATCCATTCCAAATTTCTTAAAAGTCAAAAGGGGGGAAAAAAAACAAAATTACTCTTTATCTCCTCATTTTACAAAAGGTACAGTAATTAATTGTGAGAAATCATAAATCCTAATACATTTGTTTCATTTGATAAGATAATTACAAGCTGGCTTTCATGTAAAATCATCTTCATAAATCACCCTCTCTGTGCTATAAAGCCTTTCATTAATTAATGCTCATGTTGACATTTGTGAAAACATATTTGCTTAATCTGACATAATCCAAAAGCAATCACCACTGATAATCAATCTCACAAATCAACTAAGGCAAGAATGTATACTTCATGTGATGTACAAGAGTTTTACCCCATTTTTTACCAGTCATGGAAAAGCATCTCTTCTATGAACAGCAATTTTCACATCACTCAATACGTCATTCCAGATTGCCCCATCCTCCTGTATGCACCACTCAGATATTATTTTGTCTGTAGATGCTACAAGACTTTTGCTCAAGTGTATATTACTACAAACAGTCACTAAGTCTTTGTATGTTAAAAATGATGATGATAAGTCTTGTGGTGACCAGGAGTGACCTGCAGGATGCTCGACAAACACTAGCTTCTGTCCTTCTCTACGCAGTACTGCCAGAAATGCAACTAAAAGATTACGACTACATAACAGTAAATCGCACAATCTTTCTGGTTGAAGGTTACACAAAGTCTGAACTATGCATTTGTGTATGGGTGCCCTTGGGGATCGTAATGCTGAATTTAAAAATTCAACAATCATTTTACCTATTGAAACTTTTTTCACATCAAGCATTACATTCCCACACCTCATATCATCTAACAATATATTAAGGCCATCTGGAATTTTAACTAATGCAGAGAGGGTTTCATTTACTTGCTCTGAACTCAAGGTGTCCATCACTTCTAACACCAGTTTACTTTTGAGGTCTTTATGAAAGTTTTCATTCATTGTATCATTGATATAAGCACTTATCTGCTTATAAGATTCCTGCTGCTGATTTACCTGTTCATAAATTCTAGCAGCAGCAGTGGAGCCCAGAGTCATTTTTGCAACATGAGAGATGTGCTCCTGTACATTTGTTTCAAGTGCTTGATTATGAATGAGGCTTTTCAGTAAGTGATAGCGTGCATCCTGTAACTGACAAAATAAAAGGGCCATATTGGATTTTCTTGCCAAGTGGCTAAATGCAATCTGAAGGCTGCCATTCTGGTGGGACTGCCTTGCTATTTTCTCACAGTATGCACCCCATGACAGAGCTTTGTCTACACCATCACAGGTCCAATTACTCTGACTGTAAGCAGCTGGATACAACTCATGAATGAAATACAGCAGATTCTGTAGAACTGATTTCCACATTATTTCAAAATAAAACAAAATAAATTACAGGTAATATTGTGGATACTATTTGCTAATTCTGAAATTCCTTACAAATCCAATTTCCCTTTTTGATAGTGTCATAAACTAAACTGTAATCAAAGTCCAAAATGAACAAAAAGGTTTTTCAAAACATGAAAATGTAATCTGTCATCTATTGTCACTTAATACCAGACAACCCTTTTTCCACAGATGGTATGAGCTCTTTGTTTCTTCTTTAACTGCAGATCCTATTCCTTGGCTGATTGGTATGCTCTCATTCCTAACCATCAGGCAAACTCCCCTAAGGCAACATTCAGGTCGCAGATCACCTGATGAGAAAAAAGTATGACTTCAATGTTTACCTTTCTGAATATCTTACATCAAAACACTTATGTTAATAATGTTCTAAATACTATACTTTAATTCTCTTAAATTGCTCACTTAAATACCTATGTTCATATCTTTATGCTACCTTTCACAAAAACATGTATCAATATATGGTACCTTTGAAATTTTCAATTGTTAAATTCTGAACATGAGAGGTTTAAGAAAATGGTCTTTTCAGATACCAGATGACTATCATATTCATGAGTTAACATGCAAAAGCTGAGGTTTTATCAATTCAAACTGTCCAAGTATTTTCTGGCCCAAAATTGATATGGTTCTTTTCACAGAACACATTTTCTGATTTTTGTTGGTTACATTCTGACCAAATATTTGGATAACTTTCTTACTCTTTGTATTCTTTAATCCAATTGATTTAATCCAATATT